TGAACTGTCACTACACGTAGAATATGTCCCCTCGTCATTGAACTGTCACTACACGTAGAATATGTCCCCTCACCATTGAACTGTCACTACACGTACTGTCACTACACGTAGAATATGTCCCCATCTGTCACTACACGTGAATATGTCACTACACGTAGAATATGTCCCCTCACCATTGAACTGTCACTACACGTAGAATATGTCCCCTCACCATTGAACTGTCACTACACGTAGAATATGTCCTCTCACCATTGAACTGTCACTACACGTAGAATATGTCCCCTCGTCACTGAACTGTCACTACACGTAGAATATGTCCCCTCGTCACTACACGTAGAATATGTCCCCTCGCCATTGAACTCTCACTACACGTAGAATATGTCCCCTCGTCATTGAACTGTCACCACTACACGTAGAATATGTCCCCTCGTCACCACTTGAACTGTCACTACTACACGTAGAATATGTCCCCTCACCATTGAACTGTCACTACACGTAGAATATGTCCCCTCACCATTGAACTGTCACTACACGTAGAATATGTCTGAACTGTCACTACACGTAGAATATGTCCCCTCGTCACTTGAACTGTCACTACACGTAGAATATGTCCCCTCGTCATTGAACTGTCACTACACGTAGAATGAACTGTCACTACACGTAGAATATGTCCCCTCGCCATTGAACTGTCACTACACGTAGAATATGTCCCCTCGTCACTAAACTGTCACTACACGTAGAATATGTCCTCTCACCATTGAACTGTCACTAAACGTAGAATATGTCCCCTCGCCATTGAACTGTCACTACACGTAGAATATGTCCCCTCGCCACTGAACTGTCACTACACGTAGAATATGTCCCCTCGTCATTGAACTGTCACTACACGTAGAATATGTCCCCTCGTCACTGAACTGTCACTACACGTAGAATATATCCCCTCGTCACTGAACTGTCACTACACGTAGAATATGTCCCCTCACCATTGAACTGTCACTACACGTAGAATATGTCCCCTCACCATTGAACTGTCACTACACGTAGAATATGTCCCCTCGTCATTGAACTGTCACTACACGTAGAATATGTCTCCTCGTCACTGAACTGTCACTACACGTAGAATATGTCCCCTCGTCATTGAACTGTCACTACACGTAGAATATGTCCCCTCACCATTGAACTGTCACTACACGTAGAATATGTCCCCTCGTCATTGTCCCCTCGTCACTGAACTGTCACTACACGTAGAATATGTCCCCTCACCATTGAACTGTCACTACACGTAGAATATGTCCCCTCGTCATTGAACTGTCACTATCCGTAGAATATGTCCCCTCGCCATTGAACTCTCACTATATGTAGAATATGTCCCCTCGTCATTGAATTGTCAATACAGGTAGAATATGTCCCCTCACCACTGAACTGTCACTACACGTAGAATATGTCCTCTCACCATTGAACTGTCACTACACGTAGAATATGTCCCCTCACCATTGAACTGTCACTACACGTAGAATATGTCCCCTCGTCATTGAACTGTCACTACACGTAGAATATGTCCCCTCACCATTGAACTGTCACTACACGTAGAATATGTCCCCTCACCATTGAACTGTCACTACACGTAGAATATGTCCCCTCGTCACTAAACTGTCACTACACGTAGAATATGTCCCCTCGTCATTGAACTGTCACTACACGTAGAATATGTCCCCTCGTCAACTGTCACTGAACTGTCACTACACGTAGAATATGTCCCCTCGTCATTGAACTGTCACTACACGTAGAATATGTCCCCTCGTCACTGAACTGTCACTACACGTAGAATATGTCCCCTCGTCACTGAACTGTCACTACACGTAGAATATGTCCCCTCACCATTGAACTGTCACTACACGTAGAATATGTCCCCTCGTCATTGAACTGTCACTACACGTAGAATATGTCCCCTCGCCATTGAACTGTCACTACACGTAGAATATGTCCCCTCACCATTGAACTGTCACTACACGTAGAATATGTCCCCTCGTCACTGAACTGTCACTACACGTAGAATATGTCCCCTCACCATTGAACTGTCACTACACGTAGAATATGTCCCCTCGTCACTAAACTGTCACTATATGTAGAATATGTCCCCTCGCCACTGAACTGTCACTACACGTAGAATATGTCCCCTCGTCATTGAACTGTCACTACACGTAGAATATGTCTCCTCGTCACTGAACTGTCACTGAATATGTCTCACTACACGTAGAATATGTCCCCTCTTCACTGAACAGTCACTACACGTAGAATATGTCTCCTCGTCACTGAACTGTCACTACACGTAGAATATGTCCCCTCACCATTGAACTGTCACTACACGTAGAATATGTCCCCTCGTCACTGAACTGTCACTATATGTAGAATATGTCCCCTCGTCACTGAACTGTCACTACACGTAGAATATGTCCCCTCACCATTGAACTGTCACTATATGTAGAATATGTCCCCTCGTCACTGAACTGTCACTACACGTAGAATATGTCCCCTCACCATTGAACTGTCACTATATGTAGAATATGTCCCCTCACCACTGAACTGTCACTACACGTAGAATATGTCCCCTCACCATTGAAATATCACTACACGTAGAATATGTCCCCTCGTCACTGAACTGTCACTACACGTAGAATATGTCCCCTCGCCATTGAACTGTCACTATATGTAGAATATGTCCCCTCATCATTGAACTGTCACTACACGTAGAATGTGTCCCCTCGTCATTGAAATATCACTACACGTGTCAGCGGTCACCATGATATGTATCCTTTTATGGTCAGTGAGTGGTGGCTCGTTTGATGGCGTGCTTTAGTTTGTATAAGTTGAGTCACTTGAAGCGGAGATGACAAATTGTAACATTTCACAGCAAGATGACTATGATATAGTCTTTTTATACATGTAGGTTTTATTAAATTATGATGAACGTTTTTATGGTTAGCTCTGTAAATTAGAAGTGCCGACTGACCTTGTCAATTTGAAGCAGATCACAATTATTTATCAGAAATATTATCCATTTTTAGCTCTCGCGGCGGTTATCCTGTGTAGTGTATTTACACAGCAGCAGATTGGCTTTACTATTGTTTTCCCATTTCGTTTGTAAAACATGTATGTGAAATATTGCTCATTATTGGATAAAATATTATTTAAACTATCTAACTATCAGACGAATTATTAAATGGTCGATTAGAGCCTGACAAAAAGATACCAATATATACCCTTGTTACATGCACACGTTTCTATGGTACACAAATATTAAATTTTCCTAACATTTTTTACACTTGGTACATGTGCACTTTTCTATGGTACACAAATATTAAATTTTCCTATCATTTTTTACCTTTGGTACATGTGCACTTTTCTATGGTACACAAATATTAAATTTTCCTATCATTTTTTATCCTTGGTACATGTGCACTTTCATATGGTACACAAATATTAAATTTTCCTAGCATTTTTTACCCTTGGTACATGTGCACTTTTCTATGGTACACAAATATTAAATTTTCCTATCATTTTTTACCCTTGGTACATGTGCACTTTTCTATGGTACACAAATATTAAATTTTCCTATCATTTTTTATCCTTGGTACATGTGCACTTTCATATGGTACACAAATATTAAATTTTCCTAGCATTTTTTACCCTTGGTACATGTGCACTTTTCTATGGTACACAAATATAAAATTTTCCTATCATTTTTTACCCTTGGTACATGTACACGTTTTCTATGGTACACAAATATTAAATTTGCCTATCATTTTTTACCCTTGGTACATGTACACGTTTTCTATGGTACACAAATATTAAATTTTCCTAACATTTTTTATCCTTGGTACATGTGCACTTTTCTATGGTACACAAATATTAAATTTTCCTATCAATTTTTATCCTTGGTACATGTGCACTTTTCTATGGTACACAAATATTAAATTTTCCTAACATTTTTTATCCTTGGTACATGTGCACTTTTTTATGGTACACAAATATTAAATTTTCCTATCATTTTTTATCCTTGGTACATGTGCACTTTTCTATGGTACACAAATATAAAATTTTCCTATAATTTTTTACCCTTGGTACATGTACACGTTTTCTGTGGTACACAAAGATAGAATTTTCATACCATACACAAGTGCTTATTGATACCAAAAAGATATGATAATTCGTATCTTTTACGGTGCAGTGTTTCGTTGTCGGTTCCTGACAAGTGTACACCTATAAGCACCAACGAAACACAAACGCGTTGCGGTCAATTGTGACACTTATATGAAATATATACCGGACACGAGAAATGTGACACGTGGTCGGTCGGATTCACGATCTTTTTATATATATCCTGTGTATAACACATTTATAACATAAATAATGTGAGACACGATCCGTTAAATACCTTAATTATCATGGTCCAGTTTAGTTATATCTGATTCACATTTTCATACTAAAGGGGGAAAAAAACTTTCTCGGATGACTCCGCAAAAAAATGCTATATAAATAAAATACAGAAATATTGGCAAAGGAAATTTAACATGGAACGGAAACTCCACCTACAGAATCAATATTCAAGAGTCTGAAACATAATTCAAATTCTGCTTGAAAGGTTTTTTTTCTTATTCGAACTGGAGGTAAGGCTGTATATCATTCAAAGTTTCTTCCAGTTCTTAACTCGACCAAAAATACCATAGGGATCATATCCCAACCTAAAATTACTTAACTATATAACTACATAGCAAGTTACAAAATACAAACTAAATGTCAAGACAGTTCTGGATTTCAGAAGATATACGTTATATAAGATCATGCTATTTTCTTTTGCCTAATGTATTGCATGCGTGAGTGACTATATACCTGGTTTAGTCATGGAAGTCAAAGTCCCGTCACGTGACGTAATACATACTGGTACATTTATCAATACCAGTAGCGAGATTGATAAATCCTACGTCAGGTCACCTTGACCTCTAACTCATCAATTGGTCATATTGACCATACCATTTTTTATGTATATAGCCTGACCAAAAACTCCGACCGTTTAGGTTATACCGATTACCAAATAAATCTGCAGTGGACAGTGACGATTTCAGTGACTGGTAGTCTGTAGGGGACAGTGACGATTTCAGTGACTGGTAGTCTGTAGGGGCCAGTGACGATTTCAGTGACTGGTAGTCTGTAGGGGCCAGTGACGATTTCAGTGACTGGTAGTCTGTAGGGGCCAGTGACGATTTCAATGACTGGTAGTCTGTAGGGGCCAGTGACGATTTCAGTGACTGGTAGTCTGTAGGGGCCAGTGACGATTTCAGTGACTGGTAGTCTGAAGGGGCCAGTGGCAATTTCAATGACTGGTAGTCTGTAGGGGCCAGTGACGATTTCAGTGACTGGTAGTCTGTAGGGGCCAGTGACGATTTCAGTGACTGGTAGTCTGTAGGGGCCAGTGACGATTTCAGTGACTGGTAGTCTGTAGGGGCCAGTGACGATTTCAATGACTGGTAGCCTGTAGGGACCAGTGACGATTTCGGTGACTGGTAGTCTGTAGGGGCCAGTGACGATTTCAATGACTGGTAGTCTGTAGGGGCCAGTGACGATTTCAGTGACTGGTAGTCTGTAGGGGCCAGTGACGATTTCAGTGACTGGCAGTCTGTAGGGGCCAGTGACGATTTCAGTGATTGGAACATTACGTACGTAAATGTCTTAACATTGAAAAAATTGAACTCAACGAAGAAAAATATTGAAAAATGGCCAAAATTGCTTCAATATCATCAGACAAAGTGAGTGAAAGGAGTTTTATTGATGTGATTCGACGCGAAAATATGCGGGGGAGGACTTAATTTTTCTCGGTCGTCACGCTACCTCTCTCAGTCATTAGGAGATCTGCTGACTACAATAATATGTAAATCACACCCAAACCATAAATGATAAAACCGCGGCGACAAAGTTTGACAGCCCAAAACTATTCAATAATCTGGCCATACCTACCTGGTATAGAGTCGACATAAAGTGCAATCCGCGGGCCGTCTATTAGCCAGACGCCATTTAAAGTACATCGCTGAAACTTGACTATATCAATCAGCTGACGGAATAGTGTTAAAAGTACATTCTGTCAAAACTTGGGTGTTAAATGTAAACTGACAAATGACGGATAGGTAACGGAAACATAGGATGTCATCTAATTCAATTGATTATAATACAGCGACTTAAGTAGAATAATGGGACAGGTGTTTTATATCAATTTTAGATTTCTGGTTTTAAAAATGACATTTGCTTATTTGAAAAAAGTGAAAAAATAGAAAGTGCGTATTCGTTTTTTATCAATTTTAGATGACTTTTAATCTATTACCTATATTGTTATATTTAGTGCGCTGTGAAATAGCAACCAGGTGACAAAGCCTAGTTCACTCGGTCTGTGAGATATAATCCTGACAGTATCATTACAGAATGTGACCTTTGCCTTGATGATACGCTTCTTCGGTGTAATATGACAAAAGATCTAGCCAGAATAGTGCTATCTAAGTTTGGTAACAAAATGTCCTCCTCACATGAATGGACGAAATCACATTGTGTAAAATACACTGACGATCACTGTGGCCACGAATGGTTTCTCGATTTCATTACGTCAGCACGTTTCGTCCATCATATCTTTGATTTTCCCCGTTCAGTGCTGGTGTGGATCATTCCAAAAAGTACGGGGCTACTTAATGTTCTCGTTCTCTACCTACTCCAGCCCCTAAAACCTGACACGTGACGAATATATCCCACACTTGTTTACCCTCTCCTCAGTATCGAAAATAGATAGCTATTTACCTAACCGGTAACATTATCCTATTGTACGTAATCGGTACTCCTCAAATTTCCCATTACTCTCTGAGAACTCAGTCATCGTAACCCGGGAAAGTAACATAATGCGCTATCAGATGGTTATCTAAGGACTTGTCGTTGTGAAATGATCTGTCATATCGCAGTAGTGGTGATGAACACCAAATACTATAGCGACCCCTGGTCTGTCATATCGCAGTTGTCGTGATGAACTCCAAATACTATAGCGACCCCTGGTGTGTCATATCGCAGTTGTCGTGATGAACACCAAATACTATAGCGACCCCTGGTCTGTCATATCGCAGTAGTGGTGATGAACACCAAATACTATAGCGACCCCTGGTCTGTCATATCGCAGTAGTGGTGATGAACACCAAATACTATAGCGACCCCTGGTGTGTCATATCGCAGTTGTCGTGATGAACTCCAAATACTATAGCGACCCCTGGTGTGTCATATCGCAGTTGTCGTGATGAACTCCAAATACTTTAGCGACCCCTGGTCTGTCATATCGAGAAGTAGTCGTGATGAACACCAAATACTATAGCGACCCCTGGTCTGTCATATCGCAGTTGTCGTGATGAACACCAATTTGTTACTAGTTACTAGTAAAAATGTTGCCGTGTTACTGTTTCTATGTGATGTTGCCGTGTTACTGTTTCCGTGTGATGTTGCGGTGTTACTTTTAAAATTGTATTGCATTTTTGCACAAGGTTTCTCTATTGAAGATCGGATATTGTTCAAACTCTGCATCAGAGCCTGTATAATAATGACACTTATGTTGAATTTGTATGGATTTTAGTGTTATTGGATATGTTCATCTAATGAGATGATGATTTACGGGAATAGTGTGTAGCTGGGTTGGTTAATAGTTTTGTAGGATATCAGTAGCGTTTACCGTTTAAACCTATTTTCGATATATCATTTAATAGTGCATATCCGTGTCCATTACGTGTAATTTAATATCGGATACTAAGTGTACTGTGAGAGTTTTGTTGAATAAAATCACCATATTATCAAACATTGTCATGCATAAATGTAGTTGGGTTACAATCATACAAAACAACAAGTACAAGGCTGTTTTATATCGTTTTTATTATTAAAATCTGCAATCATTATTTACAGTCGTCTCACGTGATTTAAAAAATCACCCGGATTAAAGTAAGTACCAACTGTACAGATGACATTAGCGCCGGCATTATCATGCCTTCAAAGTACAAATTACTATCGATTGTAAAGGTCTTTATAAGGTAAACATGGAGCGTTATACTGGCCTTGTGGTGGCAACATGTGTCACGAGAAACTCAAGTGGCGACACCATAAAAATATAGATACTAGCAAGGTTTTCAGATGATAAATGAAACATATAGGTTTCATTACGAAATATTAAATTTTACTTCTGAGTCTCCGGGCACCTCTTGATATGTAACCTGGAAACTGCGCAGGTACATCAAGATGAGACGTCATCTGTTGGCAAGACTTGAGAGTCCTCGTGATGATGACTGTAGGAAAAAAAACAAGGACACGTGTTAATGTACTAGATTTAAAACACTACTTATCTTTGTTATCACATTTTATATGTGACATAAAAATCACGAGAACAAACGTGACACAGATCGTATTTATAGCCCAGCGCACGCGTTAAAAGCCGCCAAATGGTGACTGCTGAAACTGCGAAATAGTGTAAAATGGACTCAAGTTTAAAATTAATAATTGTTACGTGATACAGACTCATTTATTACTACAACCATTTTATATAACAAATTCTTCGAATTCATAGTTACCGCCTCTAGATTACATATATATTATGTATTCCCAAGAATTCACGAAATTAAAAAAACTTAGGAACTTAGCAATTTCCTCGGGATACATATTTTTTCTCTTTTTATATCCTGGGATACACAGTTGCCTCCCCTTTAGTTAATGTTATCGACCCTGCAATAGAGTTATATATATAGTTATATAGAGGTACATATTGGCCTCTACTTTGGTTACACAGTCGTCTCCCTTGGGAAGTCTTATTTTTCCCTTGAATATACTGTTACCTCCTATTAAATTATGTTATTACCTCGTTTTTGTTATAATTATTTACCTGTGCTACAGATTTGCTTTATCTACTATGTTACAGTTTTATTTTCTTATGTACACAGTTGTCTTCCCTTTGGTTACACAATTAACTCCCATGTGTGAAAGTTTTCTTTTCCTTGGGTACGCAGTTGGATACAAAGTGACCTCTCTTTTGGTTACACAATTAATTCCTCTGTGTTTCAGTTACAGACTTTCCTCCCTTCTGTTTACACAGAAAGTGCCTCTGGAATACACAACACCGGCCGAGTACCGGGTACAGATACACGGAACCCGACCCCACCCCTGTGTTACCTGCTTTTGGTTACATGCTATTTACAGCGAAGACTTGACGAGAAGCAGACAGTTCTGTCGTTAAATAATCAAATAAATAACCAAGTCGTTGACTATAGCATTCTGTTCTACATTTGTAGAATGAATCCATCAATGCATACACTGTAACGCTACAACATATTGAATATATATGGTATGATTCTAACAAACGCATCGTCTATAACAACGACGGGGAAACAGTGTAAGACTACACTACAGGTATACAGTGAAATACTACACTACAGGTATACAGTGTAAGACTACACTACAGGTATACAGTGTTAGACTACACTACAGGTATACAGTGTAAGACTACACTACAGATATACAGTGTAATACTACACTACAGGTATACAGTATACAGTGTAAGACTACACTACAGGTATACAGTGAAATACTACACTACAGGTATACAGCGTAAGACTACACTACATGTATACAGTGTTAGACTACACTACAGGTATACAGTGTTAGACTACACTACAGGTATACAGTGTACAGTGTACAGTGTTAGACTACACTACAGGTATACAGTGTAAGACTACACTACAGGTATACAGTATACAGTGAAATACTACACTACAGGTATACCGCGTAAGACTACACTACATGTATACAGTGTTAGACTACACTACAGGTATACAGTGTTAGACTACACTACAGGTATACAGTGTACAGTGTACAGTGTTAGACTACACTACAGGTATACAGTGTAAGACTACACTACAGGTATACAGTGTAAGACTACACTACAGGCATACAGTGTTAGACTACACTACAGGTATACAGTGTTAGACTACACTACAGGTATACAGTGTAAGACTACACTACAGGTATACAGTGTTAGACTACACTACAGGTATACAGTGTAAGACTACACTACAGGTATACAGTATACAGTGTTAGACTACACTACAGGTATACAGTGTAAGACTACACTATAGGTATACAGTGTTAGACTACACTACAGGTATACAGTGTTAGACTACACTACAGGTATACAGTGTAAGACTACACTACAGGTATACAGTGTTAGACTACACTACAGGTATACAGTGTTAGACTACACTACAGGTATACAGTGTAAGACTACACTACAGGTATACAGTGTTAGACTACACTACAGGTATACAGTGTTAGACTACACTACAGGTATACAGTATACAGTGTAAGACTACACTACAGGTATACAGTATACAGTGTAAGACTTCACTACAGGTATACAGTATACAGTGTTAGACTACACTACAGGTATACAGTGTAAGACTACACTACATGTATACAGTGTTAGACTACACTACAGGTATACAGTGTTAGACTACACTACAGGTATACAGTGTACAGTGTTAGACTACACTACAGGTATACAGTGTAAGACTACACTACAGGTATACAGTATACAGTGTCAGACTACACTACAGGTATACAGTGTTAGACTACACTACAGGTATACAGTGTTAGACTACACTACAGGTATACAGTGTAAGACTACACTACAGGTATACAGTGTTAGACTACACTACAGGTATACAGTGTAAGACTACACTACAGGTATACAGTATACAGTGTTAGACTACACTACAGGTATACAGTGTAAGACTACACTACAGGTATACAGTGTTAGACTACACTACAGGTATACAGTGTAAGACTACACTACAGGTATACAGTGTAATACTACACTACAGGTATACAGTATACAGTGTAAGACTACACTACAGGTATACAGTGAAATACTACACTACAGGTATACCGCGTAAGACTACACTACATGTATACAGTGTTAGACTACACTACAGGTATACAGTGTTAGACTACACTACAGGTATACAGTGTACAGTGTACAGTGTTAGACTACACTACAGGTATACAGTGTAAGACTACACTACAGGTATACAGTATACAGTGTTAGACTACACTACAGGTATACCGCGTAAGACTACACTACATGTATACAGTGTTAGACTACACTACAGGTATACAGTGTTAGACTACACTACAGGTATACAGTGTACAGTGTACAGTGTTAGACTACACTACAGGTATACAGTGTAAGACTACTCTACATACAGGTATACAGTGTAAGACTACACTACAGGCATACAGTGTTAGACTACACTACAGGTATACAGTGTAAGACTACACTACAGGTATACAGTGTTAGACTACACTACAGGTATACAGTGTAAGACTACACTACAGGTATACAGTATACAGTGTTAGACTACACTACAGGTATACAGTGTAAGACTACACTATAGGTATACAGTGTTAGACTACACTACAGGTATACAGTGTTAGACTACACTACAGGTATACAGTGTAAGACTACACTACAGGTATACAGTGTTAGACTACACTACAGGTATACAGTGTTAGACTACACTACAGGTATACAGTGTAAGACTACACTACAGGTATACAGTGTTAGACTACACTACAGGTATACAGTGTTAGACTACACTACAGGTATACAGTATACAGTGTAAGACTACACTACAGGTATACAGTATACAGTGTAAGACTTCACTACAGGTATACAGTATACAGTGTTAGACTACACTACAGGTATACAGTGTAAGACTACACTACATGTATACAGTGTTAGACTACACTACAGGTATACAGTGTTAGACTACACTACAGGTATACAGTGTACAGTGTTAGACTACACTACAGGTATACAGTGTAAGACTACACTACAGGTATACAGTGTTAGACTACACTACAGGTATACAGTGTTAGACTACACTACAGGTATACAGTGTTAGACTACACTACAGGTATACAGTGTTAGACTACACTACAGGTATACAGTGTTAGACTACACTACAGGTATACAGTGCTACACTACAGGTATACAGTGTAAGACTACACTACAGGTATACAGTATACAGTGTTAGACTACACTACAGGTATACAGTGTAAGACTACACTACAGGTATACAGTGTTAGACTACACTACAGGTATACAGTGTAAGACTACACTACAGGTATACAGTGTTAGACTACACTACAGGTATACAGTGTTAGACTACACTACAGGTATACAGTGTTAGACTACACTACAGGTATACAGTGTAAGACTACACTACAGGTATACAGTGTTAGACTACACTACAGGTATACAGTGTTAGACTACACTACAGGTATACAGTATACAGTGCAAGACTACACTACAGGTATACAGTATACAGTGTAAGACTTCACTACGGGTATACAGTATACAGTGTTAGACTACACTACAGGTAAACAGTGTAAGACTACACTACAGGTATACAGTGTAAGACTTCAGTACAGGTATACAGTGTTAGACTACACTACAGGTATACAGTGTAAGACTACACTACAGGTATACAGTGTTAGACTACACTACAGGTATACAGTGTAAGACTACACTACAGGTATACAGTGTAAGACTACACTACAGGTATACAGTGTTAGACTACAATACAGGTATACAGTGTTAGACTACACTACAGGTATACAGTGTACAGTGTAAGACTACACTACAGGTATACAGTGTTAGACTTCACTACAGGTATACAGTGTAAGACTACACTACAGGTATACAGTGTAAGACTTCACTACAGGTATACAGTGTTAGACTACACTACAGGTATACAGTGTTAGACTACACTACAGGTATACAGTGTTAGACTACACTACAGGTATACAGTGTTAGACTACACTACAGGTATACAGTGTTAGACTACACTACAGGTATACAGTGTAAGACTACACTACAGGTATACAGTATACAGTGTAAGACTACACTACAGGTATACAGTGTTAGACTACACTACAGGTATACAGTGTAAGACTACACTACAGGTATACAGTGTTAGACTACACTACAGGTATACAGTGTACAGTATACAGTGTAAGACTACACTACAGGTATACAGTGTAAGACTACACTACAGGTATACAGTGTTAGACTACACTACAGGTATACAGTGTTAGACTACACTACAGGTATACAGTGTAAGACTACACTACAGGTATACAGTATACAGTGTAAGACTACACTACAGGTATACAGTGTTAGACTACACTACAGGTATACAGTGTAAGACTACACTACAGGTATACAGTGTTAGAC